CAGAAGCAGATACAGTTACCTGGGAAACCTTATTGTGTTCTTTTGGGTTGATCTGCTTCAGACCTCCTCCCACTTGCATGGTCCTCCATCTTCCCCTTGGCAGGTAGCCTTCTCCCTGCAGCCACAAGGAGCTCTGGAAAGGGCAGAACTGTTCTGTCATTGTGTGCTCCCTCAGCGTGGCTGGCAGAGCTGTGGCTCTTACACCACTCCCGCAACCAGCCCTTTCTTCACTCTCCGAGTGCCCCTTCCCAGTACTGACCTACCCAACACAACACCAGCAACCCGAGCTATGCACTGGCCACCACTAATGGCAATGTAAACTCACTTTATTTAGGTGATGTCTGTTTCTGTGGGATTTGAGGAACCAATAGGTGTGAGATGAAGGGTCACTCTCCTGTAACCACCACAGACCTGCTTGTGGGAGCACCCTTGTCCAAGCCTGCATGCACCAGGCACCAGGACAGCTCTTCTGGGAAAGGACAGAGCTGCATCCATACAGAGGTCTCCTTACACACCTGTACCAGAAGCCCTACTCATAGCACTTCTGTTTACTTAGGTCCTCATGCCTTCATGAGCCAGGGTCAAGGGCTGATGCCTGCTGACATTGACTTTGGGCTGCTCGTCTCTGAGTACGTGAGAGCCCTTTTATAAGGCAATCCTCCCCCTTTTCTGTCCAGCAATGAGATTTCTCAGCTTTAAAGCCTTGTTTGCCCTGGAAGAGAGAGAAGCTGCTGGAACCAAGCAGTGAGGGCACAGCGGAGCAGGGAGTGTTTGTTTGGAAGGTGTTATGGGTGGGAGTGATGTGCCAAGGAAGAAAACTGCTTCCAGGGATCTATATATACACGGCTCCCTGAGGTGGGGTTACACAGAGGCTCATTCCCGGGCTGCCTGTGGCACTCCTTGAACATCAACAACCAGAGCTGCTTCCAAGCTGCACGCTTTAGTTTCAGAGAGTGGCCTTGAGCAGCTGAGGAAAGACAGGGTTTGGCTGCGGTCCCTGCAATCACAGAGCGTAAGCTGCCCAGGGTCACCACAGTGCTGGAAATTTGCACACTGCTGGTCCCAGTTCTGCACAGGGCAGTGTAGTTTCAAGGCAGACAGGAAGGAGGAAGAGAGAGACACTCTTGGCAATAAAAGGTTTCTCCAACATCTGCTCATCTCCATCACACACAGTGCACATCCCTGGTGGGAGCCAGCAATGCTCCAGCTTTCCTTGCTGCATAGAAATCAGAAGCTGCTTTATTTTTCAGATCCCGAACAAATGAAAAAAGAGAGCATTTGCCAGCTGCAAATACAACTAATTCCCAAAGCCTGAAGCCAGTGCTTTTTGGTCCCTTCAAAATCTGTTCTGGCCAAGAGGGTCTGAAGAGGATCCCCAAAGCTGTCAGTAGTTCCTGGGAAAGAATGCAAGACTGCAGGATACTCTGAATGGTCCTGTTGCTAAATCTGCCCACCCTGATTGGCATCTGTCCAGTGTGGGAGCCCCGCACACCAGCACTGCCTGCAGTTATCCATTGTCTGGTCAATAGGTTACAGTCACCCTCATGTGCTCCATTTTATAGCCCCAGGAGTTGTGCCTTAGAAATTTATACAACTCAATAGCTCTCTTTTAATTTTTTTAATAGAAAAATACCTGTTTGGTTCAAAAATAAATAAATAAACATATGAACTCTAACAGGTGATATTCCATTCAAGTATTTTTTTTTCCTGTGGATTAGTGAAATAAAACCAGCACAAAATATTCCTATAAAATAAGTGTTTGAAGGGCTTCACTTTCAGAAATAAAGACTGCCACAGAATTTGTTGCTTAGGAGTTTACTGTGAAAAGTGATAATAATTTTCAAGTGCCCTCTACTTTGTCTTTTAAATAAATCTCATTGAATAAATATTACTGCCCAAATGCCCACAGGAGATTCACAATCAACTGAGTATACAGTGGAGCTGCACTGGTGTCCGCTCTGAGAGGGTGTTCAGGTCCTCTCAGCAAAGCCAAGACTAATAAATTCTGCAGGTCAAAGTGCTTTTTGCTTTTGCAGTTTTGGAACCCAAGGAGAGAAGCATGTTGGGGTGCCAGTTCCCTTTCCCAAATGGGGGACAGAGCTGTGACTTTTGTGGGAGGCAGCCCATCCTGGGACACATTTTGCTTTCTGTGCAATGCAGATTTTCACATTAACAAAATCTCTATCAATATGAAATTAGGAAGCCGCTCCAGTGCCCTCATCTTCTCCAGGATTCCCTTTGTTCTTTTGCTCAGGGGCCCCCTCAAGTCTTTGCCTTAGAACCCAGGTTTTCCCTGTTCCTTAGCTTCTTAAATAATTGTGTTAATGCCCCAGGCATCTGCAGACCTTGGGGAAGCTTACATCAAAACCTAGTCATGACTGTGCCCCCAAAGCTCATCTAAACAGCTTCACAAAATTTTTGTCTTCCCAAGGACTCTTTAGTTCTCCAGATTTTTCCATTCCTTGGTGATGTTTGGTATTTCCAGGGCAGTTTCTTGTGTTGCCCACTGGATGCAACTGTGGAGCTAAGCTACAGAAGGTTGTCCTGCACTGGTCCAGGCCCAGATACAGCTGGCTGTGGAGTGAGCAGTCCCAGAGAATGCTGTTGGTGCAGGCAAGAGCCATTCTGCCATTACTGTCCCTCCCACAGCATGTGGGTGTCCAGCATCCTTCCTACTATTCCCTTTTACTTCTCTGAGGTCCCATTTATTCCTGTGCCTCTTTCAAAACAGAGGATGTTGGTCCTGGTGATCCTTCGCCTGCTGCCAATAGCACTGTCACAGATGCCGAGAGGGTAATGAAATTATTGAGAACTGCTCAACAAAGACCAAACCTGGCCCACTGTGTGCAAGCAAAATTTTCCAAAACGCCTTCCCAATAATGGGGCTTGTAAGCCATGTGAAAGTCCAACTCACTTGTTTCCAAACAATCTGTGTCTTCAGTTGCTGAAAATCACAAGGAAAATCCTAAGCCCAAATAAAAGGCTGATTTCAGAATAAAGAATGTATTTTAGTTTGAAATTAAAACCTGAACAGGTTTTGTTTGGTAGGCTTGAGATTCATTGATTAAGCAGCGAAACCAACAAACCAGTTATTTTTTTCAGCTGTAAAAATGTACTGTTGGGCATTTAACTTCAACAGGATGAAATTGGCGCTGTGGCTGTCGTGAGTACCTGATGCTGTGGGTTAGTACGCAACAAAATGCTGCTGTTAGAGACAGCAGACAGTGAGATGCCAAACGCAACATCAGCCTCCCTGCACAAGGCAGTGCCCTGTGCAATGCTGTGGCTGCTGGAGGACTGCCCTCTGCCCACAGCTGTGCTTATGAGAGTTCCTAAACCCAAGTTTGGCACTGCAAAATGTAGGTCTTAGTCAGAAGGGGCAAGGATCTTCTGCTCCCATTGATTTTGATCAGGCTGGAGGAGAGTGATATCACTCTCCCCCACCCCAAAAAATCAGCCCCTTCTGTTGTGGGTTTAGGACCCTAAATTAATTATGCAGGTGGAAAAAGTGGAGTCTGCAAGTGCTGTCTAATCCATGAGGCTGCTCTTCTAAGTCTTATTGTGCTCCTGAAACAGTCTCTTAATCAAATAACAGAAGCACAAATAATTGTAACACCACTTAAGTTACTCAACCTGAGATCGGGATTCAGGTACCGAGGACTTAATGTTAGTTAAGCACCTTCCAGAATCCCAACCTGGAGCTGTCAGATGAAGTATGTGCCACTACACAAGTCACACAAATGGCAAGTAAAAGCTTGTGTTTGTTTTTTGAGAAGCAACTGTTTTTTTGAGAAGCAGCTACTTTCCAGTCCAACTCTAGTCACTCAGAGAGAAATCTGAACTGAGGAGGTCTTAGAGTTGCTCTGGGGCCCTCTCTGTCCCCAGATACCAGGGAAGGACCAGGACAGCTCCTCCCACAGGCTTTTACTTTGGAATAGGACTAAAAAAAGTGTACTCATGTATGTGTCTCACTTCAATGCAGGTAAACAAGTGCACCCTTAGCATAGCCACAGCATAGCAAAAAACCTTCCTGGGCTGGAAGTTTATCTGAAAATCATCTTTTTTATCCCAGCACTGCTGTCTCCCACAGGAAAGACCCCAAAACTCAGGGACTGCTTTCATGGCAAGGCCCTCTGCTCCAGGAGTCCTCCTCTTCCAAAGGCTGATGGCTTCTGCACATGTACACTGGCCCAGGGAGAAGTGCCAAGTCTGGCAGCACTTTAGGGTAGCTCCCTGAGGGAGCGGAGCCCATGGGGTGTGTATGTACGTGTGTGTGAATACTGGTAGCAAAGGGGGGTCCCAGAGCCCCAGAGAAATGAGACAGGCGGGGGCAGCTTTCCCTCCTCCCGCCCTGCTCTGCTTCATTGGCAAATAGGGTAGGCAAAAGCCTTTGGCAAGAGGAAGCCCCTGGGATTTTCCTTCAGGTTCCCAGGGAGTTCCTAAATAAAGGATCTGATCCCCAGAAGGGGTGGTTTAGTGGGGCAGAGGAGAGGGTGGTCCCTTTGCAGGCAGCCCCTCATGTATGACCGCCGGCAAGGGCAAACGTGTCAGGCAGGGTGAGGAAGTGGCCCTGGCTGCCCTTATCCCCCCAGGGACAACATGATGGCAGGTGGGTTTCCCATAAGTGGAGTGGAAAGCTCTTTATTTAACCTGCACCCACCACCTGCCCTCAGTCTCAGCCTTGCCTTCCTCGGGAGTCTGCCAGGGCTACTTTTTTGGCAGGCTGAGCCAAATGAAATCTTTTTCAAGCCAAGGCTCCAGGTAACCCTTTCATGCCTGGGTCAAGGAGGAGCACTTTTCAGAGTATCAGGGCATCCACCTTGTAGCAGTATGATGGAGCCGCCCCCAGACTGCTCCAGGTGCCACCGAGGAGTCTGCTGGGGTCCTGCCCCTCCTCAGTCCTGCTCCTGTCTGGAGATGTCCAGCCCCACCATCCACTGCCCTCATGCTGCGTCAGCAAGTGATGGAAGAACCCAAGCAAATGACGACAAACAACCACATTAGGGATGTGACAGAATGACTGATGATTTAATGCTTCTTGAAGTTTTTTGTTTCCTTCCACAGGGCATTGGTTTTAAAAACAAACAAAACGAGATAAAATAAATTAATTTATGTACACTTTACATACACTGTGTCACATGGAGCTTTGCAGCAACAGTAACCAGAAATCGTTACAAAATAGAAAGTTACATGGCTGTTGCAGGCCCTCTGCACCTGCAACCTAGAAGGTTGTCATCCTGAGCGTGGTTGGCAAAGTGATCATGTAAACATGTTTAGAAGCATTTGCGGTGGACAATGGATGGGCCAGCTTCATCATATTCCTGCTTTGTGATCCACATCTGCTGGAAGGTGGACAAGGAGGCCAGGATAGAGCCACCGATCCAGACAGAGTACTTACGCTCAGGTGGGGCAATGATCTGGAAAAAGCCAAGAGAGCTGAGGTCAGTAAACAAGCCACTGCTGCAGGTGGCAGGCACAGTGGTGTGCGCAGCCCCGAGACCTGTGCGCAGTGGGGCAAAGGAAGGCTGGTCTTATGTCTGGGTCCTTTGTGCTCCAGCCTTACCTTGATCTTCATTGTGCTGGGGGCCAGGGCTGTGATCTCCTTTTGCATGCGGTCAGCAATACCTGGGTACATGGTGGTACCCCCAGACATGACATTGTTGGCATACAGGTCCTTCCTGATGTCAATATCGCACTTCATGATGCTGTTGTAGGTGGTCTCATGGATCCCTGCAGACTCCATACCTGGGGGTAGAGAGGGAGAAACAGGCAGGCACAAGTTAATTGCAAAGCAACTCGGGAGAGAAGGGAGAGCTGTCAAAGGTGGAGAGAGGGAGGGGGTCCCACACACCAATAAAGGAAGGCTGGAAGAGGGTTTCTGGGCAGCGGAAACGCTCATTGCCAATGGTGATGACCTGCCCATCAGGCAGCTCATAGCTCTTTTCCAGGGAGGAGGAAGAGGCAGCGGTGGCCATCTCATTCTCAAAGTCCAGCGCCACATAGCACAGCTTCTCCTTGATGTCACGGACAATCTCGCGTTCAGCTGTCGGGGGGAGCAAATGCATCAGTGATTGCAGAGGAGGAACCCAGAACGTTTGCACCACCACCATAGGTCTGCTGGGATTCAAGACCCCCAGCCACACGTGAACTCCCAAAAAGGAGGGCTCATGGGGCTTTCAACGGGGTGACAGGATGTAGCATCCCTGAAGGTGCAAGGGTTGGAAGTGTGGGGGGCACTTTTTGGAGGAGGGAATAGTGCTTACCTGTGGTGACAAAGGAATAGCCACGCTCAGTCAGGATCTTCATCAGGTAGTCAGTGAGGTCGCGGCCGGCCAGATCCAAGCGCATGATGGCATGGGGCAGGGCGTACCCTTCATAGATGGGGACATTGTGTGTCACACCATCACCGGAGTCCAGCACAATACCTGGGGAAACAAGAAGCAGCCACCTGAGAGATGCAGCCCACAAAGGGTCCTACCCTGGGGGACAGAGCACTTGTCAGCTGTAGGGGACCAGATCTGGGTGTCCTTGCTGAGGCAAGAGCGGTCAGTGGGACTTTGCACTCACCAGTGGTACGGCCAGAAGCATACAGAGACAGCACAGCCTGGATGGCCACATACATGGCAGGGACATTGAAGGTCTCAAACATGATTTGGGTCATCTTTTCACGGTTGGCTTTGGGGTTAAGGGGGGCCTCAGTGAGCAGGGTGGGGTGCTCCTCTGGGGCGACACGCAGCTCATTGTAGAAGGTGTGGTGCCAGATCTTCTCCATGTCGTCCCAGTTTGTGATGATGCCATGTTCAATGGGGTACTTCAGGGTCAGGATACCTCTCTTGCTCTGGGCTTCATCTCCTACGTAGGAGTCCTTCTGACCCATACCCACCATGACACCCTGCAGGGGAGGAAAGCGAGGGCTCAGCAACCTCTGCACGGGCAAGAGCACTGGGCTTCCTGGCAGGACAGGAGGATGGGAAGCGCTGGGAGGTAGCAGGGATCCACCGCCACAGCTGTGGCAGGGCTTGAGGGGAAGCTCGGAGGGGCACTGCGCCGTACCTGGTGGCGGGGGCGGCCCACGATGGAGGGGAACACGGCCCTGGGGGCATCATCCCCGGCGAAGCCAGCCTTCACCAGGCCGGAGCCGTTGTCGCACACGAGCGCGGTGGTCTCGTCCTCGTCGCACATGGTGTCGGCTGTGTCTGCAGGGGCACAGGGCGCAGGGGCTGAGCCTCACGGCCGGGCAGCATCCGCGAGCAGGGGCGGCGGGGCGGGCTTACCTAGGCTGGCTGCGGGCTCCGCGTCGGGCAGAGAGAGAGGCTCCCGCTCTTCGCCGGGTCACTCGTGGCCGCCGCGGCCGCCGACGAGCCTTTTATCGCGGCGGGCGGCGGCTCGACCGGCCCCCAGGAATGCGGCCCCGGCCGTCCCCATATTTGGGTGTCGGGCCCGGCGCGGCCCCGGACCGGCGGTGCCCAAAGAAGGCGCTCCTGGCCCCGGCCCAGGTGAGCCGGGCCCGGCCGTATAAGGCGCGTCTGCTGGGCCCCCCCTGCCACCGCCCGCGGTCGGGGCCGAAATAATCCCCCGGCACCACCGGGCCCGTTAAGGGCAAAGCAGGTGGGGACGGCCCGGCAGCCCCGGCGGGGCTCGGCGGGGCGGGAGGTGAGGGGTCATCGGCTGTGTGGCCACCACGTGCCAGGGCTTGGGGCTGCCAAGGGAAGAGCTCCCTCATGGGTCTTGCCTGCTGCTATAGGTGAGCCCACGGGAGAAAGGGAGTTGGGAGAGAAGGCAAAGCATCAAGGCAGGTCTGTGGTTTGCAGGTAACACTGCTGTACATGGCAACAGTCCATGCAAAAGCTACGGCTTTACATGCCAACTTAAGCCGTGCATCGTTTCTTTGCTGTGGTTTAAAAATGGAAAATAAATGCACAGGATAACATCTGTCAGACAAATGCCTGAAGAGAAGCCCGGTAAAGCATTAATCCTGGTCTGATCCCAGCAGCCTGACGTAGCTGTGACTGCTAGTGCCATTACTGGCTTCTGAGCTTGGCCAGGCAACACGGGAATCCTTCAGCTATCCGTGTGGCTCACCCTTTCCAAAAGGAGCATGGTCTCACCCACAAGTCATCTCTGACGAGCTGAAGGTACAGCTACAGGTATTTAAGCAGACATTCCATATAGGACACTTGGGAGATTTTATAGAGACATTTCAGTTACCAATGGAAAGAAGAGGCAGTAGTGCAAGCAGATTTGCAGCCCTGACACTATGTTGATATAAACCAACCTTCAAGATCTTCTCTGACAGCACAGCGGGCCAAGGGTAAATCCTTCCAAAATTTAGGGAGAGAGAGGGAAGAAGGAATAGCAGGCCAGAGGCACTCATGCTGTGAGGAGTCTCCTGCAAGCGAGGGTATTTCTGCAGGTGATTTCCTCCACTGCAAGGCACAGCAGACAGCTCAACAGAGAAGAAGATAATTTTTTTTTCCTCTGTTTAACTTCTGCATCCTGCAGCTTAGCAGCATCCCTCTTTACATCTGGCAGCTCTCTACTTCCTTCTGCTATAGATTTTTAATTCCTGTGAAGTTATTGTAATAAAGTATGCCGAGGATAAAGAGTGCTTTTCTCTCACCCTGTTCCTCAAATTGTATTACTCTTCAGTTCCAGCAGTAAAAAAATCGGAAGCCTGAAAGCACTTAAAGGCATTGCAGCACCAAATCTATTTACAGAACTGTAGAGCTTCATTGTGGTTTCCAAAATACAGTCAGTCGTGTTGAATCAGAAATCAAGTAACAAAAACCCTAGCGTAGCTGAAAGATAAACATTCTTAATTCTTCAGTGAAACATGATGCAAGCATAAACCCTCTCTATCCCTTCTGTTCCCTTTTATTTTCTCTCTACCCCAATCTAGTTTACAGCAAAATGCCCAAATGGCAATGTTAAATTCTTCCAGTTCTGAGCAAAACATCATTTTCTGCAGGTAGATCTGATGTTTATCTGGACTCACTAAATGAATGTGGGTTTTGTCCCAAGTCAGAAAACAATTGGAGTTAGTTTCCAGTACAAAGCTGGGCACTAAGATAACTACTCCCTATGTGTAGCTTCTGAAATTGATCACAAATTACAACTGATAAACTTTCCTGCTACTCTGGTGACAACAAAGGATAGAAGTACACACTTCCTGTCCTGTGCATGCTATTCAGTACTGAGAAAATAACTATTTAAAAAACAACATATACTTCCTTATTCAAGAGGAGCTATCCATGCTCCTTAGGCTGTTGTCCTAAGTTTATTTGTTTTTGTTACACTTGGAAACAAGCGAGAGCTCTGGTATGACCTTCCATAAGCAGTGGTAAATGAAGGCATCCTCCCTCTGCAGTAATCTGAGACAGAAGTTCTGTACCAGCACAGCTTATTACATAATGAAGCAGAGGACAGAGAAAAGGAATAATCCCGAATCCCAGACTCTTCAAACTTCCCAACGGAATAGAGAACCAGCTCAACATTACTAGTACAAGAACATTAAACATCAGCTTAGACATGGAAGTTATTTTAATGAGGCTTTATTTAAGTAAACTCATTGCAAGTAGCCTTCTGTTTTGGCAATAGTCAGATGGAAAGCCATTGTACTAATGCCAAATGCCTCCCAACCAAGCAGTAAAGCAGCTGAAAAGCCTATGTTTCCCAAAAACTTGGATAATGCTTCTACACCAAACACAATAAACCCATCCCAGCAGAGAAGCCAGGCACTTTGAAACAGACAGATAGTCAAGAATGAAGAGAAATGCCTGCTTCTGGAGCAAGCTTTCCAGGGCTTGCCCTGCCACTCCTTACAGAATACAGATATCTGGTGAACAGTCTGGGAAGGGATGACATATCCCCAGAATGTTTTATGGTGGACAGTCAATTAAAAGGATTCCTCTTCAAGCAAAATATACGAGCCTAGTAGAAGTTCAGGTAAAACATATTTCAGTAAGGGGTGGCAATCATTTATAATTCTCTTTCTCCCAAAACCCTGCTAAGTTCATCAACATGAAACCATCCTCAAAGTGACATTTAAGCAAACAAGTGGAAGGCTTTAAATGACCCACTCCTTTGAAGCCATAGCTGGGAGTTACGCTCACACTTTTCAGCCATGCAAGACTGCAGAAGCGCAAAGTTTGCTGCTTAGAACAATCTTAGAAGATGACTGCTAGTGCATTTCTTTCCCATATTAGTTAGAACCTCTAGATAAATCTATTCTTCCAAACATGTTCAGACTCTCAGCCCAGCTTACTGTATTAGTACAGGGAGGAGGGGAAGCCACGGAAGGGGAGCTGTGCTTTTAAAACTAGAAACTGGATTCTCTTCAACCAATTTAACTTCTGACCTTCTCAGCTGTTGGATCAAGTTGTTGTAGCAGGCTTGGAGCCAGACAAGTAAAACATAAGGGCATGCAAGTTGCTCTGCAGTCGCTCTGACTCTTGAGCTACATGCAAAAGAAAGGTGCAACACATCAGATCGCACTAACTTTTATTTAAATATTAAAATCTGCTGACAATCATTGTAATTAAAATAGAGAAGTTAAATGGAATTTTTTTTTTATTCCCATGTCAGAGATAACTAACTGGGGCAGTGGGGTAAAAGAAAAGAAAAAAGAAAATTAGTAGCATCTATCAGTAGAGAACAAGGCGTGGAGTAAGGAAGATCCTGTTGGACTCCCACACTATGGTAACTACTTTCTAGGTTTCAGTCTGAGCCTAGGCGCGAGCAGTTGCTGTGAATGACTGCATGGTGAGCTGTTAATCTCATTTTTACATGTATCCTAGAAATAGTTTAAATGGAAGTTAAACAGATACAATATTAAAATGTTTTGAAAAAGTTTAACCTTACAGATATAAACAGAAAGAATGGTATATTTACTGGACCAGAGAACTCTGAATGAGAACTGTACTTTATTCCTTTCTGTCACAGGCAAGCTGAGTGATCAGTGACAAGACAGTTATCCTTTTTGTGCCATTAACCTTTAATGCAACATTGCAATTAGCTAGTTTCTACAGCAAAAAGTGTTGTACAGAGTGGAGTTATCCAACAGAATAACCAGTTGTTTCTTAAGTAAGCTATGCAGTCATCCAGCATTAATGTTTTCAGTATTTTCTCTGAACTGAAATCACAGCCCCAGTGGTGACAGCAGAAGTTTCCCCACCTGCTGCACTGAGACTCTTCTGAGTGTCAGGCAGGACTCACAGTAATGAAGATACAGAACAAAACAGAGAGTTTATGAAAGGCATGGAAAAAGAAAACTTTATTTTTATTTTGCCTGAAAACAGAACTATGGCTCCCCTGACTAAAGCATCAAATCATTTAAGACCAAGTATATTACTACTCACATAGATTTTAGCACAATGTTAGCAAAAAACCAAACAAAACATAAAAAAGTATAAAAGCATTCAAGAGTTCTTTAGAAAAAATATTTAAAAAACCAGTGAGAATCATGCTTGTCCCTGAACGTAGAGTTCATAGTTTGCTTTTAACACAAATTCGAAGTAAGCATTGTATTTCAAGTTGCCAAGTTCATTTGCTTGCAGCAAGTCCTTCACCTCTGGTAAATATTCACTTAACTGGACTCCTACAACACAAAACCATTTATTACAACACTGATAAAAGTACTTTTCATTAGTAGTTAAGGTAATTTTTAAGTAAACACCTCCACCTGCCTCACAGTTAAATTACTCTTCTGGAATTGGGAAGCTTTAATTCTATTATACACATCAAGAAATACAATAAAGCTTAAATAGAGCTCAGTAATTTAATGATTAAACCTCAAATCCAAGCTTTATATAACACTTCAACAAAATAAAAATAAATAATAAATAAAAGACAGAAAAGGAAAGAGAAAAGGAAGCTCAGTAAAATAATTAACATGTATAAGGTGCAACAGTTCATTCTGGGCTGTGAGACTCTTACAAGAGGAAGGAAATGGACAGGATCGGACACACAAAACTAGAACTGTTCTGAAAAACTTCATTTTTCTATTTTCCACATGGAACCTTCTCTGTTTTGAAAAAACTTCATATGCAGTAATATTGAAAACAGACTCTGAGTCTCAATTGCTTTCCTCCTCTCACTCCCTCCTCCAGCTGTAACTTCCATAGTCGTAACTTCCTATGGTCAGCTTTAACTGGAGAATGGGAAGTATTTTTTTTTTTTTTGCT